TGGCACCGGCGGTAACAATCAGGCCCCGCCCCGCCCTGGGACCGGCGCAGACCCCGCGGGCCCAGAAGCCCACGAGCCGCTCAGAATTCAGGACGCTCCGGAGGCGAAGGCCGCTCTAGAACGAGCAAGGTCAAAGCGGGCTGGGCGGGTTCCGAACCCGGACTTGGGGGGCTCCGCTGCCGCCCTGGGCAGGGGGTGGGATGCCCTGGGGTCATGGCAACCCGCATTTGGCCCAGCTGCATTGGGGGTGCCATTCTTCGGAGCTGCCCTGTTGGAGCCGGAGCTGCCCTGTTGGAGCCGGGTTTGGGGTGCTTTGTGGAGAGGAGCAGGGTAAAGGCGCTCTCCTCCTGCCTGCACCTCTTACAGCCTTGCCAAGTTGGGGATCTTGCCCTGCCTGCGCCTGCCTTCCCTCCCCTGTGACACCCCACCTTGCAGGGGGCACTGGACAGCGCAGGGCAGGCGTGCGCAGCCACAGCAGGCGCGCTGTTAGAGTGTTCTCATTTCCTGGGCGCAGCGAGGAACGTGGACGGACCCCAGTGGTAGCTTGGCCAGCTGAGTGGGGGGGAGGGCTGGCTCCCCCTTTCTGGGCCAGTTTCCTGACGTAGTACTCATGGAGCATTAGAATCAGGAGGCCCCTTGAAAAGCCCTGAAGTCCCTCACTTTACAGGTGAATAAACTGAGGCCCAGAGAGGGGGACACGTCAGACCCAGGTCACTTGTTAAGTCAAAGGCAGAGGCAGGCCTGTGGCAGCCGCCTGGGCCCAGCCAAAGCCCTCCTCCGCCCGCGGCCAGGGAAACAGCCCCGACAGCAGAACCCGCGGCTCTGCCTGGCCCCTCAGATCTGCCTCCTCAAAGCACAGCGCGGTCGGCTTGTCAGCCCCAACTGAAAGACAGCTGGGACGAGAAGGGAGCTGCCTCCCGGAACAGAGAACACAGGAGCCAGGCCCGCACTGGAGGCCTCGGTCGGCTTCCTGGACCTTTCTGAAATGGCTTGCCTTTCTCCTCATTTATTTTAAGCCCTAGGCACTTTTCATACCACGATTTAATCTTCTTTCGCAGCCTGGAAAAATACAAATCAATTAAAGCCTAAAGCCTATTGGGTAATCAGCTTTCCCTTCCTCCTCCCGCAGACCCAGACGCCTGCGCCCTGCGCCTTTCATCCAGACTAACTCGGCTGCAGCGACTCTCGTTCCAGGACGATCACTTTGGGTAGCTTATTACAGCCGCGCTCACAACATTGCTGACATGCGTGTCACAAGTTGCTAGGATCAAGAGCCGAGTCGGTTTTGCTCTCAGGGCTCTTGGGGCCGCCAGCCAAAGTAGTGCTGAACCCTAGAGAACCTGGCAGCCCCCGGCAGCCCCGACCGCTAGTCCTCATTACTCTGGGCCAGGGAGCAGGAAGCCCCACGGCGGCGAGAGCCAGGCCAGGGCCCAGCTGGCGCGACCCCAGGGGCCCCAGGCAGCCTTCCAGGCCCTGGCGGCACCCACGTCCCCATTGCTGTCCCCATTGAGGTCCAGCATGACGCCAGGCCGGCCCCAAGCTAAGAGCCCCGACGTTCGAAAGTCAGTGGCACTCGGCGGCCGCGGCGGCCCACAGTGGCGGCGTGACCCCAGCCTGGCACCACCCTGTGGGGATGAGCGTGGTGCCCTCCTCACGGGGCGGCGGCAGGGCTGTGTGAGCCGGGCCCGGGGCTGACTGGGACCGCAGGTGACCTGCTGTGGTCAGGGGCTCGGCCGGCCATCGGCGAGGCTGTGCAGGGCGCCCACACCGTGGGAGCACCGTGGCCTACCGGCCCTCTCGCCTGCTTTATCTTCTCCTTGGCCCTTACTGGCAACTCCCTCTCCCTTCCCAGATGCCGCTTCGGGGGCGGGAGCCTGGGGTAGCCCAGCACGCGTCCAGCACTTAACGGACAAAGTTAATGAGTAAAGCGCTCGGTCCCTTGGCTTAGAGGCCAAGGCCTGGCCTGGCGCTTCGGATCCCTCCACTACCCAGCCTCTAGCGGAAGTCCCCCCGCTTCCGCCAGCTGCCTGCCTTTCCCCTCGCTCCTTTCAGAGGTCAAAGCCATGGCAGCCTGTTTCTTTCAGGGTGTCTGCCACGCCCACCGCACGCCCCTTTGCCGCGCCCGGCACTGGCCACCTGGGCCCCGGCTGCTGCCCACACACAACTGTGCCCCTGCAGTGCTCCCAGGGCTACGAGCTGCAGCTGGCATCGGGGGAGGTCAGGGCACAGAGGCTTCGGGTGACCGCTGACCCAGACCCGCTTAAAAGGTGGAGGGGCTGGGACTTGAACCCTGGGCGGTGGGACTCCAGAGCCTGGATCTCGCCTGCTGCCCCCAGCCCTGAGCGTTTCGGGAAAGTGGGCTCAGGCCCCCCGCAGCCTCTGTGCCGGTCTCCACTGGCAGCCAGCCGGGCCCCAGCCGCGAAGCGGGTCGGGCAGCTCCTCCCAGCAAACAAGGGGCCGAGTGCCCACACTCAGGATAACACAACTTAATGAAGAGCTGTTAAAGACAAATTAATGCAGAAACCCACTTAGAATCTGCAATAGCAAAGCTTTATGGAAACTTGACATGAAGACTGCGTGGTCTCAGGCCCCAGGGCCCGGCCCAGCGCCGGCCTCGGGTCTGACCTCTGCCCGCTCGTTCTCTGGACGTCTTGGTGGTAACTTCATCTTCAGTCTCACCCTGAGGGGTGTGCCTCGCTGGCTAGCCCACTGCACCCCGAGTTCGCTGTGTGTGTCTGCCTCCTAGGGGCACAGGGCACGAGCCGAGGTGGCAGCAGGTGTCTGGCCGGCAGCGCCCTGCCCCTTCCCGTGTGCCCACTCCCGGTGGGGTGGGGGCGCTGCCCGCCAGCAAATACGGGTTCCCGGGGGTTGCCACGGCCCTGCTGGGGCACAGGCCCGCCCGGGGCGGGCGACTGCCAGGGCCCCCTGCTGTGACCCCCTGTGGCCACCCCGCCGTAGCTGAGCTCCCGTCCCCCGAGCTCTGGCTTCCCACCCAGCTGGTCGTGGAGGCACCTTCTGGCCTCCTCGAGCCATGGAGACGCCTTTGGGCTCAGGACGTGGGAGACAGGGAAGAGCCCGTCGGCACCATCTTGTTCTTGGGGCCTGCAGAAGCCTGACGCCCTCCCCGCCCCACTCTTGCCCAGCGTTCTGGCTCCTTCCACCTGCAGCATCTCGCCAAACCGGGTCCAGGGCAGGGCTCTGAGAGGCGGTGCCTCGTGGCCCCAGCAGTGGCTGCCTAGAGGCCCCTGGGCAGGAAGGCGGGACTGGGGTGCGGCAGACTCACGAAGTCTGGCCCGTCCCCGCCCCCGCCGGATGCTAGCGGGGTCGGACCCCGAGGCCCTCCCAGTGCTAACATCCCGTGAGTCTGTGACCTGGGGCCTGCGGGACGGCCCCACCTTTAGTGCACCGCCTGGCTCTGGGGCGTGCGGGTGCCTGTGGCGGCCCCGTGGCCCGGCACTGGGCAGTGCGCGGCGGCTTCATACAGGGAGGGGCCGGCCCGGAGCAGGCCCCGGAGCAGGGTCCGCAGCTGCCCAGGGACGGAGGGCTGACCCTGCCCAGCCCCGGCGCCCCTCAGCTTTTCCCACCGGGGCCCGTTAATTTGGCCGGAACAGGTGAAGTCAGTTTCCGGTGCCTCAGCGGCTTTTGCCAGCCACACGGGGAGCCTCGAGGCTGAGAGAGGCCACACTCGCCGGCAGAAACTGAGGGCCGGAGGCCGCGTCCCTGGCTGGGAGAGGGAAATCAGCGTTGCGGCAAAGGCTGCGTCCCTGTGGTGGACAGGCTGGGTGGGTTCAGTGCGCCCTGGACAGCAGTGGCCAGTGTACAAAGGGCATCACCCTGGGGTTCACCTGCGCCCCCCGGAAACGGGGCCGGCAGCAGCGCGCGTCCTGGGGCCGTGGCCGCCTCCCCGGTCCCAGCGCGGCGCTCGGGTTGGCCAGCGCCTCGTGCACCCCCACAGAGTCCTCTCCGCGGCCACGGCCACGATGAACGAGGTGAAGGAGTCCCTGAGGAACGTGGAGCAGCGCTACCGGCTCTTCCAGCAGCAGCAGTTCACCTTCGTCAGTGCCCTGGAGCACTGTCGGGAGGACGCGCACGACAAGATCCGGCCCATCTCCAGCATCGGACAGGTGCCGGGCGGGGGGGGCCCAGGCGGCTCCGGGTCGGGGGGGCCCAGGCGGCTCCGGGCGGAGGGGGGCCCCCACAGGCGGCTCCGGGCGGGGGGAGCCCCAGGCGGCTCCGGGCGGGGGGAGCCCCAGGCGGCTCCTGGCGGGGGGGGGCCCAGGCGGCTCTGGGTGGAGGGGGGCCCCCACAGGCGGCTCCGAGCTGGGGGGAGCCCCAGAAGGCTCCTGGCGGGGGGGCCCCAGGCGGCTCCGGGTGGAGGGGGGCCCCCACCCAGCTCTAGCTCGCTCCCTGCACAGCTGCAGACAGGCAGGGGAGCGAGGGAGGGAGGCGAGCTCGTGCCAGGCCAGACTCAGATTCACCTCCCGCTTCTCACCCGCGCGGGCCGGTGGGGGAGGGGGCTGGAGACTCGGCCGGCCGGGAGTGAAGTCTTGGCCTAACGCCTGGCACGGCTGTGGCCCTGGGCCTCAGTCTTCTGGAGAGAGACACACCCAGGGCTGGTGCATGGACCCCGTGAAACTGCTGTGTCTGGGCGCCCTGCCGTCCGTAGGCTAAGGACGCCCCGAAGCCCACCACAGCCCAGGGCTTCGGTGTGCGGGGGCGACTGCCCGGGCCAGCGGCGTCCGCAGACATGCCCTCTCCCTGCGCCCCGGGGGCAGCTGCTGTCTGCACGGGCTGGGGCATGCGGGCACCTCCTGGGGGCTCACCCAGGCCAGGCCTCGCCCACAGAAACGGCGTCACCTGGCGGTCAGCGCGCGAGCCTGGCTGCTCGCGGGGCTGTGGGCCCCCCGAGCGACTGCCCCCCGAGCGCCCCGAGACACACGGGCCCGCGCCCCGCCCGCAGGTGCAGGACTACATGGACCACCACTGCCACAACTCCACCAGCCGGCGCGTCCTGCTCATGTTCCTGGACATCTGCGCGGAGCTGAACAGGCTGTGCCAGCACTTCGAGGCCCTGCACACCGGCACCCCCGTCACCAACAACCTCCTGGAGAAGTGCAAGACCCTCGTCAGCCAGAGCAACGATTTAAGCAACCTTCGAGCCAAGTGAGTCCACTCCGCGGAGCCTCCAGGCCGCGGGGGAGCGGGCTCCTGGGGGGCCGGGCAGGCCGTGGGGAGCCGTCAGGCCGTGGGGCCGCACACGGGCACCCTGGAAGCGCTCTGAGCACGCCGACTCCCAGTCGTCCGCACACGCCTTCCCGTGTCTTCCTCTGAGCCCGAGGCTCCGACACAGAACACAAGCCTGGGCAAGGACGGTCCCAGGCGCAGAGGCCCGTCCCGGGGCACCACGGAGCTGCCTGCGGCCCCGGGCACCCACAGTGCCGCCGCTCGAGGACGGTGGCCAGCTAGCAGGGTCAGAAGCGGCCAAGGGGCTCGGCGGCAGATGTGGGGGCCGGGGGCGGGGGCGCAGCTTCCCAGGCACGCAGGCAGGGCGCCGTGGCCCCCCGGGCCCGCCCCTGCAGAGCCAGAGCCGGGCCAGGGAGCCGGCCTTGGCAGGGGCGGGGCGGTCCTGCTTGTCACGCCGGGGGCCCAGTCGCGCTCACCACCTCCTGCACCGCAGATACCCTCACGACGTGGTCAACCACCTCAGCTGCGACGAAGCCAAGAACCACTACGGGGGCGTGGTGAGCCTCATCCCCCTGGTCCTCGACTTGATGAAGGAATGGGTCGCCCACTCGGAGAAGCTGCCCCGCAAAGCGCTGCAGCACGTGAGTGCACGCCAGGCGTGCCAGGAGGCGGCCGCCGGGCCTCGCC